GGGTTAACTCTGGAAATGTTGATCTTCTAAAGATGAAGTTCACTTTAATCCTTGCACTTTAACTACCTGCATTTATTTACTTATTTATTTATGTCAGTTGTGGGGCTTGAACTCTGGGCCTGGGTGCAGTCCCTGACCTCTTCAGCTCAAGGTGAGGGCTCTACTACTAAAACCACAGCACCACTTCTGGTTTTCTGGTGGTTAATTGGAGATAAGGGTCTCAGGAACTATCCTGCCGTGGCTTGCTTTGAACCTCAATCCTTAGATCTCAGCCTCCTGAACAGCTAGGATCATAAGTGTGAGCCACTGGTGCCTGGCTCCCTGAGCTCTTTTGCTCAAGGCTAATACTCTAATATGTTGAGCCACAGTAACACTTCCAGTTTTTGGGTGGGTCACTGGAAATAAGAGTCTTCTGGGGGGCTGGGAAGGTGGCTCAGTGGTAGAGTGTTCTTCTTGCATTCGTGAAGCCCTGGGTTCGATTCCTAGCACCACATAAGCAGAAAAAGCCAGAAGTAGGCACTGTGGCTCAAGTGGTAGAGTGCTTGCCTTGAGCTGAAGAGCTGAAGGCTAGTGCCCAGGCCCAGAGTTTAGGCTGCACAACCAACAAAACAAAAAAACAAAACAAGAGTCTTCTGGACTTTCCTTCCTAGCCTAGCTTTGAACTAAGATCCTCATATCTCAGCCTCCTGAGTAGCTAGGACTACAGGGGTGAGCGACAGGCACCTAGCAACTACTGGTATTTTGTGATATTAACTTTTTTTTTTTTTAGGAACTGAAACTGAAAAGCTTCTGCCTTATACTTTCCAAATTTTTCACTTTTAGAATTAAGTTTTGTCCCCTATTGCTACTGAAGACTAGTCCTACTTCCTTAAGACTTCCATAAATGGTATCAAAGAAACTGCTACCCACTGTCCCCCACCCTCGCCAAAGAAAAAGGAAAAGGGAAGTAGCCAGCCTCTAGTGTAGGTTCTAAACAAATGTCTGTTGGTAAGCAACTTCCTTTTCCCATAAATAACGGGAGCAAAAGTAGTGTTTGGAACTTGATGACATTTTACACAGTTTCATAGAATCTTCACAAGTACTGTGGTAATCCCAGTACTCAATGGAGGAGACTGAGGCTAGAGGATTATGAGTCTCCTAAACAAAACAAGACAAGTAATATAGATAGAAGTGATGTCAGGATTGAGTCCTATAATGCTGGATAGAACCCATGATCTTGAGCCTGACAGGCAAGCACTATGCCTCGGGCTACACTTTTGAACCCCTTCTCTGATCTGCAGGGGATTAAGTACCATAGGTAATCACTCAAGGCAATTAATATTTCCCCATTTTTTGAGACAAAAATCTTGCTATGCAGCCGAGACCGGCTTTGAACTCGGGATCCTCCTGCCTCAGTCTTCAGAGTTCTGGGATTATACATGTATAACACTATTCCAGGTTCAAAATGTTTTTTTTTTTTTATTTTTTGTTGGTTGTGGGGCCTGAACTCTGGGTGGGCCTGGGCACTGTCCCTCAGCTCTTCAGCTCAAGGTTAGCACTCTACCACTTGAGCCACAGCACCACTTCTGGCCTTTTCTACTTATGTGGTGCTGAGGAATCAAACTCAGGGCCTCATGCATGCAAGGTAAGCACTCTACCACTGAGCCACTTTCCCAGCCCCAAAATAATTTTAACTATTGTTTTTATGTTTATTTTTTAGATACTAGAGTTCAAACCCATTTGAGCTCTACCACACAACCACCCCCAGATCTCAAGGCAGGTTTTTGGATTTTTTGCTGGTTCTGGGGTCTGAATTCAGGAGCATTCTATTACTGGAGCTATAGCGCCTCTTTTAGCTTCCTGGTGGTTAGCTGTAGATAAGAGTCTCAGGCTTTGAATTGTGATTCTCAGAACTCAGCTTCCTGAGAGCCATTAGTGCTCTGTTCAAGACAGCTTTAATTCCACATTTACTTTGTCCTGTAGTCTACCTGGCTAGCAAGAGGCTTTGGTTATCCATGCAAGCCAAATAGCCATACCAGGGAGAATAAATTAATTTTGATGATCCAAAACTAGTCTGAGTGGTAAAGCACTTAGCTTGATTGAAGCCCTAGATTCAATCTTCAATACCCAAACAAACAAAAACAAACCAATTAGCCTAAAGCCAACATAATAGTAGTGTATCTTCTCCAATGATCTAGCCTACCTTTATTTGGCCAGCTTCCCTTCCACTACCAGCACCTGATGAACAAGTTTGGGCAGATGTTATTGGCTTCCATTCCATGAATTAAGACTGCAGAATATGCTTTCTGAACCTGACTTCAAGAATTCTGTTTTGAGAAGCCAGTATTTCATCCTATTTTTGAAGGTTTTCTAGGCTGGATTTCAAACACTGAAAGTAGTTCATCTCCCCCCAGTGCCTTTTCCCTAAAAAGCTACAGTACGAAATTCCTAATGGATCTCTGCCCAAGCCATATAACTGTGGGTTTAGTTAAGTACCCTAAGGTACCCTCTCTTGACTCTGCTCTAAAACCTCTGAGGTCTTCCTGCCATTATTGGTAAGCCATTAAGTCTTTCTGGCCTCTTTCCTGGTTTTAGATCCTCTTAGGTTCTTTTAGTACTCTGCTCCTGGCTCATCTGATCAAATCTCTCTTTGATTCTGTCCTGTCCTACTTTATAAAGTCTCTTTTATTCTGCTTCCTCCAGTCTCTCCTCCTGTAACATGTACCCTCATCTCTAGGCTTCTGACTCTCGTGTGTTTGTGTGTGTGTGTGTATGTGTGTGTGTGTGTGTGTGTGTGTGTGTGTGTACTGGGACTTGAATTTAGTGTCTGGATATATCCCTTAACTGTTTCATTCATGGTTGGTGCTTTACCACTTGAGCCACACCTCTAGACCTGGCTTTTGCTGGTTAATCAGACAAGAAGAATCTTGTGGACTTTGCTGCCTGAGATCCTCAGATCTCAGCCTCCTGAGTAGGTGGGATTACAGGCAGGAGTTACCTGCATCTGGGTGCTTCCAACATTTTCAAAGCCATGTTCAAATGTTACTCAAATCAAAGGTGGCCTCTTACATTTGGGGTTGACTGGCATTCTTACAGCTTTGGGTTCACACCCTTTATAGTTCTTGCCACACACTTCTTGGCAATTGGAGAACTTGCAAAAGACCTAAGATTGTTACACAGAAAGGGAACTTGGACTTTTTTTTTTGGAGGGGGGGTGGGAGGAGGTAAAGAATGTTGGGGATTAAACCCAGGTCCTTGTACATGCCAAAAAAGCACTCAATCTCTGAGCCATACTCCTAACCCCAGGAAATGGGTCTTATTTGCCCTCCCTTTTTTTATTTTATGCTGGTACTGGGGCTTGAACTCAGGGCCTGGAAGGTTTTTTTTTTTTTTGCTCAAAGCTGGCACTCTACCACTTTAGCCACAGCTGCACTATTAGCTATTTAGTAGCTAGACTTTGCTGCCTAGGCTAGCTTTGAACTGCAATCCGCAGACCTCAGCCTCCTGAGTAACTAGGACAACAGGTATGAGCCACTGGTCCTTGGCTTATTTGCTGTATTCTATGAGGGCAGGAAATGGTAGACAAATGAATATAGACTCATCTATACTAGCTGCCCACCTTTCCCTTCATCTGGGTTGACTTTTCCTTTTAGCAGGAGGGCTGTATGTTTTTAATGTGTCCAACATAGAGTGGAAAAGTTTAGAAAATTGAATCTTGGGGCTGGGAAGGTGGCTCAGTGGTAGAGTGTTTGCCTTGCATGCATGAGGCCCTGGGTTCGATTCCTCAGCACCACATGAGTTGAAAAAGCTGGAAGTGGCACTGTGGCTCAAGTGGTAGAGCACTAGCCTTGAGCTGAAGAGCTGAGGGACAGTGCCCAGGGCCCAGAGTTCAGGCCCCACAACTGACAAAAAGAAAAAAGAAAGAAAGAAAAAAAAAAGTAAATGGAATCTTGTGGTGGGGACAAATTAAGATGTCTGGGTACCTAATATGGAGCACATACCTCTGGAACTCTCCTCCCCCTCCCCCCAAAAAACTGCCCTGGGGCAAATGATTCTGTGGTTCAGTTTGTTTGATACAACTGTTCATGACAAGATTGACCACACCGTCCAGTCCTGGTCCCAATGAGTTAGTATATTTCTAACAAAAACCCAGAACATGGGTGGCTCATGCCTGTCATCCTAGCTACTCAGGAGGCTCAGTTCTGAGGATTGCAGTTCGAAGCCAACCTGGGCAGTGAAGTCCGTGAGGCTTTTATGTTTTGGAGTCAGTCGTGGGGCTTGAACTCTGGGCCTGGGCGCTGTCCCTCAGGTCTTCAGCTCAAGACCAGAGCGCTCTACCACTTGAGCCACAGCGCCACTTCCGGTTTTCGGAGAGGGGGGTTTATTGGAGATCAGAGTCTCACAGACTTTCCCGCCCAGGCTGGCTTTGAACCGTGATCCTCACATCTCAGCCTCCTGAGTAGCTAGGATGACAGGCGGGAGCCACCGGTGTCCGGCTTTCTGTGAGAAGGAACCCCAAAAAGCCCAAAAGGGGCGTTGTGGGTGAGAGTACAGCAAAAAAGATGCTCAGGGACAGCGCCCAGTCCTTGAGTTCAAGCCCCAGGACCGGCACAGACAGACAGACAGACAGACACACACACCCCTATGGATCAGGATGGCGTGTCTGAGGGGATTTGAGAGGATTGTTGCCAGACCTCTAGAGAACGCAGGGTCGGACGGACACCGCGTCACTCGGTCCATCCCTCTTCCGTCCGTCTTTGCGGGAGGTGGGGGGGGCGGGGGCGCTCCACAGCGGATGGCGGCGCCGAGGAAAGATAGAAGCTGAGGGCGCCCGAGAGGGCGGCGGCGGCGGCGACGGCGTGCGTGCGCGTGCGCGTGCGCGCGTGCGCGGTAGGGCCAGGCGCGCAGGAGCACGTATGCCTGCGCGCGCGCGCGTGCGTGCGTGCGTGCGTGTGTGTGTGTGTATGTATGTGTGTGGGTGCGCGTGCGTGCGTGGGCGCGGCCTCCGAGCACGCTGTGCGCGAGGCGGATGTCCGGGCCGGCTGGGCCGGGGCGACGGACGAGATGGCGGAAGGCCGAGGCTGCTGTGAGCGACCGGATGTAGAGACCCAGAAGTCCGAGCTCGGAGCCTTGATGAGGACCACGCTCCAACGGGGAGCGCAGTGGTGAGCACTTCCTGGTTTGCCCCTTCCTCCATCTCGGCAGAGCGTGGGGCCGACGCTTCTCTGGGCTCTTAGGCCAAGTCCCTACCCCCCCCACCCCCTTTTATTTATTTATTTCTCTGCTTGGGAAGGGGCGGGGTCGGGGGCCTTGTTTGATGACCCTTAAAAGAGTGACCAGACCTCCGTCCCTAACTTGGGAACCCCCCCCAAAAAAAAATCACCCCAGCCCAGGTACCGTGTGGCTGGGACTGGAAGTGGGGGCGCTGTCCTAGCCCATTCGGGCCCCCCACAGAGGCCTGGGCCAGGCCGGGACAGGGGATGTAGGATCCTAGGAAAGTAGGGGAGAATATGCCGGGGAGAGGCGACGGCCCGTTACCACCCGGGACTTGGCTTTCTGTGACCTTGGGCAAAAAGATGTCCAAACTTTATACGGACCTAGGTTCCTGACAAGTTCGAAGTGTAGCAATTTTGTGGCTCCCGGGAGTGGAGGCGAAGCTCCCAAGTTGATACTTTGTAAGTTGTCAGATGGTCTCAGGACCTCTCCCCCCCCCTCCGACCTTCCCTCTCTGATTGTTTTGGAATCACGTGTCAAAAATGAATAGTGCTGCCAGTCGCCGGGTGGCTCACGCTTTGTAAATCTTAGCTCTTTTAGAAGGTTGAGATCTGAGGAACCTGGTTTGAAGCCAGAAAAGTCTGTGAGACTCCATCCCAATTAGCTATCAAAAAAAGTTGGAAGTGGAGCTGTGGCTCAAGTGGTAGAGTGCTCACCTTGAGTACAAAAACTCACGGACAGGCCATGAGTTCAAGCCCCGTGCTTGGTACAAAAACTAAAATAATTAATGTTGGTCGTTATCTAGGGAAAATAATAGGGTAGCCTGGATCCTGGGGGTGTATAGAAATTTAAAGTAGAAAAGCAAGGTTGAGATCGGAGATTTCTTTCTTTTCTTTCCTTCCCTTCCTCCCTCCCTCCCTCCCTCCTTCCTTCCTTCCTTCCTTCCTTCCTTCCTTTCTTGCGTTTTCCATTCAAGGCTGGCGTTGTACCACTTGAGCCACAATTTCAGTCCTCAGGTGTAGTTTTATGGTGTTCATCTTTGTCTAGTCAAGATGAAAAGCAAGGCAAACATATACTTTTTTTTTTTGGTCAGTCATGGGACTTAAACTCTGGGCCTAGGCGCTGTCCCTGAGCTCTTTGGCTCAAGGCAAGTGCTCTACCATTTGAACCACAGCACCACTTCTGGTTTTCTGGTCCTTTATTGGAGATAAGAATCTCATGGACTTTGCTGCCGGGGTTGGTTTTGAACTGTGATCCTCAGATCTCAGCCTTCTGAGTAGCTCCGATTACAGGTGTGAGCAACTGGCACCTGGCCAGAGGTACTTTTGAAGTTACTCTGCAAATGGGCGATACATAAAGAATGCCTTGCAGAAGCAAAAGGAGTTTAAGATAAACTCACCCAGTGAAAGTATATAAAGGTTATTGGTCAGCCAGGTGCTGGTGGCTTATGCCTGTAATCCTAGCTACTCAGGAGACAGATCTGAGGATCGAGGTTCAAAGACAGCCCAGGCAGCAAAGTCCGTGAGACTCTTTATCTCCAATAAACCACCAGAAATCTGGAAGTGGTGCTGTGGTTCAAGTGATAGAGTGCTTGCCTTGGGATGAAGAGCTGAGAGACAGCACCCAGGCCTAGAGTTCAAGCCTTACAACCAACCCCCCCCCCCAAAAAAAAAAAAGTTATTGCTCAAGGGATTGGTGGGAAAAACAGTGTTTTACAGAATTGACATGTTTGGGTTGAAATCATAGCTCAGTTGATATAGTGCTAGCTAAGGAGTGAAAGTGTCAGGTACCAAGTTCAAGTCCCTATCTTGGACCAAAAAAATAAATAAAGCAAAGAATGGGCATGTATTTTATGGATCCTTGAGCTGTTTGGGAAGTTGCTTGATTTCTTGGGATGTTTTTATTGAATTTGAAGGACAATGCAATCGTGTTTTTTCCTTCTGACTTATAAAGAAATATATGATACTTTATAATCATATTTCTCTGTGTGTGTGAATGTGTGTATGTGCATGTACGTGCATGGTGTGCCAGTCCTGAGGCTTCAGATCATGGCCTAGGCACTGCCCCTGAGATTTTTTTTTTGCTCCAGGCTACTGCCCTACTACTTAAGCCACAGCTCCACTCTACTTTTTGGTGGTTAATTGGAGATAAGAGTTCAGAGACATTCCTGCCTGGGTTAGTTTGAACCTTAATCCTCAGATCTCAGCCTCCTGAGTTTTACGGGTGTGAGCTACTGGTGCCTGAGTTGTCTTATTCTTTTAGCAATCATTTTCCATTAATAAATGACTGGTCTAAGGCTATCCATCCTATTGGCTCCTAGTCCCACTCTGGGGTGTATATTTTGTGGTGAGGTTAACATATTCTCCACATGGGAGGATCATAAAAAAATAATGATAAAGGGTCTGGGAAGACAGTTCAGTGGTAGAATACTTACTACGTAAGAGCCTCCTCATTCTATCCCCAGCACTGGAATAAAGAGAAAATTAAGTTGTAGCTTCAGAAGCTAGTAACCTCCGTTTTTTGGCTATAATAACTTGTTGTGTTTCTCTAGGTACCTTATTGACAGCCGGTGGTTCAAGCAATGGAAGAAGTATGTGGGCTTCGATAGCTGGGACATGTACAATGTGGGTGAACATAACTTGTTTCCTGGGCCAATAGACAACTCCGGACTCTTTTCAGGTATAGTATCCTATTGCTTCTCTAGCAGAATGTTCATGTGGGCAGTGGCTGATGTGTGTTACCTCTAACATGGACATTGTGATCCTGCCCTTTCCTAGTATAAAGAGATGGAAATGAGTGTTTTCAACTTGCATCCATAGAAATTCTTGCAGGTGGGGCCGGGAAGGTGGCTCAGTGGTAGAGTGCTTGACTCACATGCATGAGGCCCTGGGTTCGATTTCTCAACACCACATAAACAGAAAAAGCTGAAAATGGCGCTGTGGCTCAAGTGGTAGAGCGCTTGCCTTGAGCTGAAGAACAGAGCCCAGGCCCAGAGTTCAAGCCCCACAACTGACAAAAAAAAGAAACTCTTGCAGGTCTTTAGGAAGCCTTCAGTTGCTTTTTACCTCAGTTCATTGCGTCTAAACTAGTGCAAGTGTATGCCATTTAAATTTTCTCTATCTCTGCAAATTCTGCTAGAGGATTCAGGTTTTAGACTAGTAATATCCAGAAAGGAAAAAAAGGGTGTATCATTTGAAATTTCTTCTGAAATCGAAACTTTGGAAATTAACCTTTTTTTTTTTTTGTCGGTCATGGGGCTTGAACTCTGGGACTGGGCGCTGTCCCTCAGCTCTTCACCCTAAGACTAGTGCTCTGTCACTTCACCCACAGCGCCACTTCCAGTTTTCTAGTGGTTAATTGGAGATAAGAGTCTCACAGATTTTCCTGCCCAGGCTGGCTTTGAACTGCTATCCTCAGATATCAGCCTCCTGAGTAGCTAGAATTACAGGTCTGAGCCACTGGCACCCAGCTGGAAATTTAAAAATGTGGGGATCAAGCACAGGTCTTATATATATATATTTTGATGCCAGTCCTGGGGCTTGAACTCATGGTCCAGGCACTATTCCTGAGCTGCTTTTGCTCAAAGCTTGCACTCTACTACTTGAGCCACAATGCCACTTCAGGCTTTTTCTGCTTATGTGGTACTGAGGAATCGAACCCAGGGCTTCATGCATGCTAGGCAAGCACTCTACCACCAAGTCACATTCCCAGCCCACCCCTAACCAGCTTTGAAAAAGGTTTTTTAAATCATTATCTGCCTTGAGCTAGAGACGATTTGTTCCACTGTGGATACTTTCCAGGCTTCACTGGTCTAGAGAACAGTGACTTCTACTGTTTAAACTTAGAATGGGGTATAGAGTGGGGTGTTGCCGGTCACTGGCTTAGCTGTGAGTACTGTTGGTGGGAATTGATCAGTCTTCCCTAGGTCCTCCCTTGAGAAAGTGTTTCAAACTCCTACAGTCTAGTTCTGATCTCTGGAATGTTGACTGTCTGTGGTAGGTGGTGTTGAATGTTTAGTTTTTTTTTTAATTTTTGGTGCAGTTCCTGGGGCTTGAACTTAGGGCCTGGGTGCTGTCCCTGAATTTCTTTTGCTTAAGACAAGTACTCTATTACTTGAGCAGTAGCTCTACTTCCAGCTTTTTTTTTTTTTTTTGGTGGGGGAGGAGGGTAGTTTAGTGGTAGTATAGTCTTACAGACTTTCCTGCCTGGGCTGGCTTCGAATCGTGATTCTCAGATCTCAACCTCCTGAGTAGGATTACAGGTGTGAGCCACTGGTATCTGGCTTGTATAGCATGTTAAAAAGACTGCCTACCCCCCAAACCCCCTCCCCACCCCCAATTTCTGGAACCTGAACTCTGGGATTGGGCACTGTCCCTGAGCTCTTCAGCTCAAGGCAAGTACTCTACCACTTGAGCCACAATTGGAGATAAGAGTCTCTCAGACCTTCCTGTCCCAGCTGGCTTTGAACCGCGATCCTCATATCTCAGTTTAGGATTACAGGTATGAGCCATTAGTGCCCAGCTTCTGTCTGAGCTTTGACTGAGAATGTTTAAAACTAAGAATGCTATAGCTGGGTGGTTAAGTGGTAAAGCACTTGGTAGAGCACTTGAGACTCTGGATTGGGTCCAAAACAAAACAAATTAACAAAAACAAACAGGTGAAGTCCCTGATTCTTGGTAAAATAAATGTAACTTCACTGGTTATTTTAAAATTTCTTTTTTCAGTACTTGTGGCTTGAACCCAGGACCTTGAGCTTATAAGACAAGAGCTCTATCACTTGAGCTATTCTCTTAGCCTTTCTCTTTTATTTTGTTTTTGAGATACGGACTCACTGCTTTTGCCCAGGTTGGCTCAAATTTTCAATTTTTAATTTTCAATTTTCTGTCTCCAAGCCCTGAGTAGTTGGGATTATAGGTGTGTATCATAACACTCAGCTATTTTTTTCCTCCTTTTTTTTTTTGTACTAGTACAAGGGTCTTGAACTCAGGGCCTCTACTCTCTTGGCTTTTTAGCTAAAGAGTGGTACTTTACCACTTGTGCCACAGTTCTACTTTTGGCTTTTTGCTGGTTAATTGGAGATAAGAATCTCACACCGGGGCTGGGAAGTTGACTCAGTGGTAGAGCGCTTGCCTTGCATGCATGA